ACGGAATACGCTTCCAACGGTAACCTGTTACGTTTGCTGCGGCAGGCACGAAGGCAAGACGGGCGGCAGTCTCTCCCACGTCATCTCCGCTATGCCGTGCACATTGCCCGTGCTCTTCAGGAGCTCCAACGCCTGGCGCTCACACACCGGGACGTGGCCGCTCGGAATGTCCTCATCACTGCTCACCACGTGGCCAAGTTGGCCGACTTTGGACAGGCTCGTGACGTCTACACCGCTGTCCAATACGTGCCTAATGATAAACACGGCATAGAACAGCCTGCTAAGCCTAAAGACAACGTAAAGAATGAAGTATTCCCCCTGAACTGGACGGCTCTGGAGTCATTAGAGACAGGTGAGTACACCTGTCAGAGTGACGTGTGGTCCTTCGGCGTGCTGCTGTGGGAGATCGTCACCATGGGACAAGAACCGCGTTACCATGGCAACGACCAACCCACCTGCCAACAGCTCGCACGGACCCTCCGGAGGGGAATCCGGCTCAGAAGGCCTCCGAAATGTTCCGGAGAGATGTATGACATCATAATGTCGTGTTGGCGGGAAAATCCACCAACAAGACCGGGTCCGGATGTGGTCGAGAGGAAACTCGTACACCTGCGGAATGCGATGATTACAGTAAGGGAAACGACTGTCTGAATTGTCAAAATTAATGTTCAGCTATTTTTTTTGCCCAACCTGTATTAGTCAAGAAGTTGCCTTTTCTGACTGTGAGCTGATCCAATGGTGCCAGCATGCATCATCACAAGTATTGAGCTGATACATAATACATAATATGTAAATATGCATACATAAGTGGACATTTCTCTTCCTGGTGTGAAACAACTGTTTTACAAATATAGTTTACATTTGATATCCAGCCAAATAGACAGGCATTAGGCCATGTTGATTTGATTATATGGATGACATCCTCCGGAAGCCCCAAAACTGATGCGCGCGTGCGAATAAAAAAAAAGTTTTGCAAAAAAAAAAGTTCTTTTCATTATGAAATCTACGTGGTCATGAGGGCTGAGCAAATGGCACAGAATATGGTTTGGCGAATAATCTAGTCTTCAAGTTCATTTCTTTACAATTTCGTCTTTTTTCGTTTGATTTTGGCATTGTACGACATTGGTATAGTTTTTATTAATTTTTTTTTGTAACTTATGGTATATTTTTGCTCATTTTGCAACTGTTTTGTATGATTTACAGTATGGTTGAAAACTTTTTTTTTTTTGGAAACGGCCGAAAATTCATGCGCGCGCGGATGTCATCCATATAATCAAATCAACATGGCCTTATGATGACGCATCAGAGATGCTATTTATTCTATCAGAGTTATTTTAACAGGATAAGAATTCAATGTTATATCATCTAATTCATAGAGAGTAATAATCTAACCGATGTGTTCTAAAGCACTGTTCATACTTAGGGAACATTTTACTTGGGTTCACTGTAATGAAGGTATTCGACAATATTCTATTGTTTCTGTGAGACAAGATATGGTTTGTCCTTTAATCCGTGCACTTCTAAGAAATGCCAGAGATAAGCAATCTCCTGTTTTTAGTCTCCGCCTCCATTTTTCAATGGAGAAGTCAAAAATAACATAGATATATCATGCTTTTGAAGACATACTAGGCCAAATCGAGTGTAACAAGAAAGCAGCCTGAACTGGAAAGAGGTTGATGTCTGGGCAAGGAAATGGAATCACGTATACGTAGCTTGGCCATAGTCCCCTCTACATTTCGTAAATTTTCCCGGAAAA